ATGGGAATGCTGAAAGATGAAAAATCGGACGAGGCAACGTTTGAAAAGGTGACGATCTACACATATCGGCGAACTGAGAGTCAAGTGTTTTAATTGTGACCAACTTTGTCAGATAAAAGGACAGTGAAAGGCCAGACGACGTATCTGTTAAAAGAACGGCTTACAGCATACGTTGCGCGATCGAATCTCCGGACCATAGGACGACGTGATGGCGCACACGATGACGCGACATGATTGCGCTCAGAAAAACGCCATAGGAAAGGCTTATAGGTAGCTCGGAGTAGGACCTCAATATACTCACTTCATCTTTTTTAACAGTATATGCATTGGTGACGCGGTATTTGCAGTGGGCGAAGGACGATCGGCAGAGTGGCTTATCGCCAGCGATCTCACACAGGACTGACTTGTTTGAATACAAGGACCTTAAAATATACGTTGAAGAAACAATTGCAAATGACAAAAAGACACTCGTTAGAGCAATCGGCAACGTGAAACTGACCGGTCTCGATAGAATGAGGATTTGCATTTCTGACGTTTTATATTTCCGAAGATTGCTGTCGGTTGGCAAGCTTGCAAAACGCGGGATAAGTGTCGAGTTTTCGCTTTTTTCGTGTGTTATCTGAAACAAACAATAGGCTACTGCATGGGGTATAAGTATCGATGAAGCGTACATGCTCGATTGGAAACCGGAGGAAGTAAATTACGCGGAGAATTTCAGGAATGACATTGAGTAGAATCTTTGTCATGCTCGCATTGGACACTGGAATAAATTTTTTCACTCAAGACACAGCCCTCGACTAGAGGCATAAAGATGATCAAGCAAAAAAACAGAAATACAATGTGCCGGGTGCTTGAAGGGTGAGTAGACCTTCACGGCATTTCCTTCACGTTCGATCACGCGACAAGCGTTCGGGTGCACACAGATATAACGTGTCCAACCCAGATATCGTCGATAGGAGGGCGCGACATATATCTTTAGATTTGTTGTTAAATTTTAAGAATTGTTGTTCAAATGCATGTTTCGGCTATGCGGACAGTGTCAATTCTGACTGGAAGAAGAAAGTGACCCGCATTACGATGTTGGAATAGCGTTAAGTAGGTGGCATTGACAACTCACACTAGCGATCATCGTACTTTTAAAAGACAATGGTATTATGTTTTAAACCAGTTGGATTGACCGCCAATTCAGGACGAGCCTATAGAAACTGCAAAAGAAACCAGTTGGAGTTGCCGAACTGAACTATGTTAGTGAGAGATCTAATAGGAATATGTTGAAGTTAGCAGAGAATCGTCCATCGCCTCAAAAGCATCAAGAATATCATTTGGTGCTTGCTTTGAAGTGAACTGGAGCAATCACGACGAAGACATGAGCCGATGCTATGCATCGTGAAAGCGTAGATGAAAAAGTTGCTACAAAAAATGTAATGATCCACAGAAGCCGAAACGCGCTAGGATTGACGCAAGACGAATGGATTGCCGGTGCTATTCTTGCATACTTAATGTGAAGTGAAAATGCTACGGACATGCCGACAATATATGCTCAAGAAATTAAAGTGGTGATGTATTAAGAGACATGAAGCTATTGAAGCCGAGCTTCGCCTACATTAGCAAAACCAAAAAAAACATGAAAGCTAAGCGGGGAGGAAGATTGCACAATTGGATTACGATGGGACATTGCCATGAAAAGTGATCAAAAGTGCACTGTTGTCCGGTACAAGGCAAACTTTCCACGAAGAGCTCTAACACAACTATGAGATTGCTTTCATTAAACCTTTTCTTGGTTGCAAAAATGAGTTCAATATGGATAGTTCTTTCTGTGTGCACGAAATGAGACTACAAATGGAACAGGTGGTTGTCGATACTGCTTTTGTCAGCAACGTGCTAACAATCAACGCTCCGCTGGGTGTCGACAATGTGCAGGGATACGTTTGCCAATCAAACTGTCTGTATACGGGATGAAACAAGCAACATGTACCTGGAACAAGACCTTACATAGTATCTGTTTCAACTATGGCCTTTTGAGATGCGGGGGGATCAGTGCGTTTCTGTCAAGAGATCTCGTTTAGGTTAGACCATGTTAATTTTTTTAGGATGACATGATTATCCAAGCAAAAAGCAGGGAGATCATTGAGTTCAAAATACTGCTCAGAAATAAATTGTCGATGAAGGCGCTTGATAACGCAGATTTTATCTGGGCATGGTGTTTGATCACGACAGCTCAGTCAAAACACTTTTGATCAAGCAGACTTGTGACACTGACAATGTGCTCAGGCGATTCTATCAATAAGATGCCAAAAGAGTCAACAACCCATGCGCATCGAAATTGATGTTGTCATCAGCACAGTCGCCTAAAACGGATCTGGGTTTATTAGAGATGCAACCTAATCGATCCTTCCCTAGATGCCTGCTGTAGATAACCACATATACTACACCGGATGTTGAATACGTGATAATATAGCTATCATATTTGCAAGAAAATTTCGGGCTGCCATATTGATTAACGCCTACTCGCGTGCTGCGCTTCCTAAAGAGCACACGTCTAATCGATATCGTCTACCAAGTCAGTGGTCAAATTGCGGTTGAGGCATGTTCAGATGCCGATCGGGGCATTAATATCGATGACAAATGTTCGGTTTCAGAAGTTATGATCATGATTAAAGGTGTGTTAGTCAAGTTCAAGTCCTAGCGGCAGCAGGCCGTTGCACTCGGCTCGGGAACGACTGAATATATGGCTATCAGCCTTTGCACTGAAGATATCCTTTGAAAGCGAGCGATGCTTAAGATCATGGGTCGTGACTAAGTGGAAGGCACACAAATTTGAAAGAACCAAGGACTGATCGGATTAGGTACAAACGCCAAACACCATGCTCGAACGAAGCACTTCGACTAAGTCACCACATCAGACGCGAGAAGGTCAACTACATCGACAAGAATCGTCAGCTTGCGGATATGCTGACGAAGGCATTCGAGATGAAGATGGTTGCGTCGATACGCGAGGCAGCGGGTGTTGAGACCAATCTTCGATAAGGATCAACATGAACTAATGGCGAGTGAGAGTGTAACGGGGTTACACATATCCTGGTAACAGGTGTGTGTGTCACAAGATATGGGCACGGTGTGACTGCACCCAAATATAAATTCGGTACACGGCTGGGTAGCCAGTAGATATGCATGTATTTAGATTTTACTATACGTATTAGGAAAATCTAAACATTTAAAATTAGGCGGCTTTGCTGCAGACAAATCAAAAAAATACAGTTTACATTTTGAACAGAAGAGTCTAATAGCTTCGGGTTAAGGTTCTTGCGGATTGCGATCCGCTACACTCGTACTGGTTCTTGTGAAAAACGTGGTTGGTGACCTAAAATACGCCTCCTCTAAGCGCAAAGATACGGCAGCCCTGCTGCGAAAGTGCTGAAATTACGTCGCTTAATTTTACGGTATTGCGGCTATATGTCTACTGTACTTTCATTTTTAAGTGTTATATTTGTTCGTATAGAAAACGAACTCAGATTCGCCAACGGTGAAGGTGTGGTGGGTCCACTTTCATTTTTAGGGTTCTAATCCCCAAAAGAGCCAAGTTTTCTTTGAGTGTTTAGGGTGCACTGTGAGTCACCGAGCCAAAACCTACGACCTGCGGTAGCGTAATTTGGTATAAATATGGCAATGTTAGAACAAGAAAGACAGAAGAACATAAGATACATTTTCAATTCGGATTTTACCATCTTTTCAACAAAATTACGGCAAAGGCCGAGGAATTTCACGTAGTGAGTACTAAACATTCATACACAGCAAGAGATGAACGCTACTTCATCTTGCACATCATTCTTTGTGCTTAAAGAGGAAGCGTATTCGAAAGGTGAGACAGATGTTGAAATTGACTTCAATATCTAGCGGTGTTCAACTAAAGCAAAAGGTTTTTTAACAATTTGGAGTGATCTGTAGAGCCTGAATGTTACAACGTGACAACGTCGAGACGGGTGAAGGTAATGCATAGCAAATTCGTATTGTGTTTTCAAATGTGCTTTTTATACTTTAATGATTATTTGCTTACGTGTGGTCTACAGGCATACCGATCTTGATTATTTAGCATGTGCAACACATCGTAATCTCTAACTGTATATTAACCGCAATTTTTCATGGCTCTTCTTCTCTATTTTCCATCTGTATTCCCGATCCCTACGACATGTTTACCCAAACAGCAGCATAGCTACTCATCATACATTCTGAGAATGATCCAAACAACATGTACAGCGTTTGACGGAAGGCTGGCGAACTTGCATCTCAAGAGATAGAATTGGAAAATACGCATTTAAAAAAAAGTACATGTTAAATTCATTTTTGATAATGAGGTCTAAGAAAAAGAGAAGTTGGCGTGCTTAGCGCTTTCAAATCTATATTTTACTTCTATTGTGTAATGCATACATTACCAGCGAGCCGTTAACAATACTATTAAACTTAACGAAGTTTACGTAAGAGCTTGAGCTTAATAGCGTAATACACGCTTATTTAAGGTTGACAGAATTTGCATAGTTCTAATTGTCTATATTCAACAACCGATACATCGGTGAAAGTTCTAAATGCATGAAAAAAACTGCATTGACGCATTTTGAAAGCTGAAACTCATTCGAGATGCGGTAATTAGAGAACCTAAGGAATTACAAGCGATTAGCTTGAAGCTGCCGATATATTATTTTATTAAAATGGAGATGAGATTTTTAGAAGCTCTGCCTTCTGTTATAAGCACCATCTTGGGATCATGATACTAGCATGATTGTGGTGTTGTAACACGGAATTGTGGAGACGCAACCTTGCGTCACCTCTAAGAGCAAAGGCACATCCTTTACAATAAGCCAGATGCTCAAAGCTATAAGGTTACTTTGCCTGGTGAACACCTCTTCAACTTCCCTGCCTGCCGGCATACCACTCCTCGAACAGAACACTTTCGTTTATTCCTTATCCACGACACACCATTTCCAAGCCTACAACCAAACTCAAAGATGAGATTTGCTTCTTCGATCATTGCTGCATCTGTTGCCTTCTCCATTTCTGTCAACGCTGACCACACTTCCCGGCAACTTATTCTCGGGGGGTCCAAAGTCAAAAGCAATACAAAGACCTATACAGTTGGTATTCGTAATACTACCGATGGTGATAATTTCTGCGCTGGAGCACTTGTTTCCTCAAGACATGTTATTACAACAGTACTTTGCACTTACTTCGGCACGGATGGCTTCGGGCCACGCTTCGTTTCCGTGGGTTCTCACAACCTTAACGGCCGGCTCGATGGCGAACAGATCGAAATCGCGTCGATTAAGACCCACAAGAAGTTTGACGATCAAACTCTTAGCTACGACTTCGCGTTGTTAACTCTGAAATCGCCAAGCAAATTCAAACCTATCACCCTTCCAAAAGCGGATAACTCGGACATTACACCTAACATGATGGCCCAGGTAATGGGTTGGGGGCAGACTTCCTACGAAAACGACAAACTTTCCGACGATTTACGGGGGGTTCAAGTTCCAGTATGGACCAATGATGAGTGTCGTCCACACTTCACATGCGATGAATCAGCCTTGTGCGCTGGTGGAAAGAAAAACCAGGACGCTTGTATTGGTGATAGTGGCGCCCCGTTGATCAAGGAGAATGGGGCTGGAGATTCAGATGACGTTCTCATCGGGTTAGCCAGCTATGGTACTGGATGTGGTACAGAAGGAATACCTTCCGTCTATTCTCGTGTTTCGGCTGTTGTTCAATGGATTAAGTCCCAACTTTAAATCCTGACTAGCGTTAACTATAGCAACACTCACGTTCTCATAGTTTAATCTTTGAAAATGAACTTGGTCTTTACTAAAGTATGTTAAAAAATGGTGTCTTTTTCTTATATATCCAAGTTGTTTGGTTCTCTAATTACGCAGTCTTAAAGTCTAGGATCAACAAATACTCTAGGTGATGTCTGTTTGCTCATAAAGTCGTAAATACCCAAAAGATCCCAAACCTAAAAAAAAAACTCTTCTTGAGTTGATAGAATCTCAAATGTTGATCCTCTGAGTATGTTGACATCAATCGGAGCTTTTTCATCACCGTATACAGTTTGTCCGGCACTTGTACTGCCCCATATTCTCTTATTGCTTCCGTTCCAGTGAGTTGCGGTGTAACAACAACCACTTCCTAGAATATCTTTGATCAACTTCCTGCCCATTACGATTATTCAGTACACATTGTTGCGCAGCGGTTATTGAAGGTATGTTGTTGGTCTTTGCGCTACCTAAGGATCCTAATTTGTGCAGTGCTGCTCTGGTTTCGTCAACAAAATTTTGAACTGCAACTGGTTTTGTTGAGATGACGCCGCCATATATTGTGGAAGGGCGATGTTGCTTGCAGCTCTATGTCTATTTACATGCACAAAATTTGGATTTGTTCGTCCTGAAAATGAACTCAGATTAGCCAAGTGTTTAAGTTGTGGTAGCTCCACTTTCTCGATTTGAGCCTTACATTCCTCAAGCACCTATAATTTAACCACGTTGCTTGGAGTTCACTACGGACTTCCTAGCCAGAAACTAGTTTCTCTCCCTCTTTTTTTGGTTGAACATAGGGACACTAATAAACCAACAAAACTAACATGCTTCGACTTAGTCTTTGTCATTCTTGACGAACCCGCACCAGTGTCGATGGCTGCTGCGGAAAATGTTTATGCGTCCAATGGCGATTGCAATGCTCAGTTGAATTAGGATGAGTACATAAGGAGTAAAACTAAGCCGAAAACAAATTACGGTGACACTATGCTGTGTTTTCATGGAACTTCTGACGAACCATTGTATCAAGAAAGCTTATTGACCTATAGTTGTAGCATCCCAGTTGAGTTGTTTGCATCTTCTTTCGCGTATCCGCATGAAAAGATATGACTGACATACACACTAAGCGGCAATATCCCCAAAATGATTCTTGCGCATAAGTTGTAGGTGTCGGTAATTGTACCAAATCACTTGGCGATCAGAATACTCAACGGTCATATAACGTTTGCGGCACCAGTGAAATTTTAATAATGCGTCGAATGTCCACCCCAGCTTTAAGCCAGCTAGTTATTGCGTATACATTCCGGTTCACCCAGAATATCACAATAAAAATGCTATTGCCAGGTCTTCAAGCCTCCCGCAATTTTTTTTGTCTCCAAGCGTCTTTTCTTTAAATGTTCATATCATTGCCGGGGACACAAAGTGGTAGGGCAATTAATTTTTTCAGATCGTTGACGTACCACTCAGTTTTCAAGAGTCATCTTAAAATACTAATTCACAGTCAGTTCTACCCATTCGGATTAGTTATGCTCCGATGGATCAGTTATCTTTGCACTTTCAAAATCTTCGACAGGATGAACGACTGAAGTTAAGTTTTGGCTTCAACGTTCTTCACACTTTGCGTTGGCTAAGCCGTAGAAGACGGGGAAGAGGTACCTATGTGGTAGGTCTTAGCAAACAAGAATCTGATCTGCTTGCCATCGAGCCGGTCGTTAAGGTAGCAGACACATTACGTATCCCCAGGTTCGTACATCGAGCAAAGTACTGTTGTCAGCACTTGCGTGTGAACGCTATGGTACTAGCGTAGTAATTATCACCGCGACAGTATCACGAATGCCAATTTGTAGTCGTCGTTTGATTTCCTAACTTTTGTTTGCCCGAGACTAAGCTGCCATCAAAAGTATGCAATGGTAAAGGCTGATGGCGCAACAATGATCGAGGTATTAACCTTTGCGTGGAATGTCGTGACGGACTGGAAAGATTTCGCTTGAGAGGAGTGAATTTCGATTGTTAATTTTGTCGAGCTCACATGGGCAAGGGTCAAATTGTAGATTAGGTGCGAGTTTTTCAAATGCATTTTTGCTTTCAAACGAGGACAGGAGATACAAGCTGTATTCAACTATTTCGCATGATTCAAGATGATTGAGAAACGTGCCGTAAACGCAACCATCCCCGCATGCCTTCAATTTTATGCTTCTTAGCGTAGCATTACACAAGTCAAGCTATACTACACGAGAATCTTTGATCATGTTTCCCGGGTTATTAAAACGCACTTTTGAGGAATATATACTTGCTAATTAAACCTTAATGTATGTGTTGCTCTAATTAAGCTTGCTCATACTATGGCGAGAAATTAAAGCCGAAAATGCGACTTTGTAAATGGTGCAGTATAGCGAGTTGGTTCAGTTAAAGTGAGTCATTTTACTTACGATTGTGATTGATTATGTGTATCGTAGCTGCAACAGGGTTTGTCTACACAATTATGGAAGCGGACGATAGAAGGCATGAAAATGATTTTCTAAAGTGCATTCAGATATTACGATGAAAGAGGACCGGGCGTTAGACTAGCACTTAGTTCGTTGATAAAAGCAGCAGCTGCTGACGCACGAGAAGCAATGCTCGGCATTCCTGCAACACCACCGGAAGTGTAGGTGGCGACCCCCACAAGAAGGTCTTTTTCAGGCGTTTCCTTGATTAGTGGACCTCCAAAATCACCATAGGAGAATGTTTTGTTCGGATGACCACCAAAACACACATCCGTCGGATCAATCGCGCCATTGAAGCAAACTGCGCAGTCTTCATTTTTCCACACCTGAACGTCAACACCACGCAATTCATAAGAGGTTTCAAAGCCATCAGACGTTTCTGGTACATCGGGATGATTGGTCAATCCCCAGCCCATGACTTTCGTCAACATAGCAAATTCAATGTCCGCTTCTGTAGCAAGTTCGATCGGCGGAAACTTGCTTGGCTTTTCAAGGATTAAAAAGCCATAGTCGTAGGCAGGAATCATTATATCAAGCAATGTGTGGTTCTGGGCCTTGATCACTTTGATGACCTCGCCGTCTTCCGTTCCGTTGATATAGTGATTTCCCACTGCCACATAGTTCGGTTTCAAATCCTCCTGAATGCTGGTACAAATTGCTGAGGTCATTACGATCATGGATGTAACCAGAACACCAGCGCAGTGGTTGTCATTCTCTGGGGTCGCGCGAATGCCACATGTGTACGTCTTTGTACCCTTTGGAATGATATCACCTCCTAGAATCAGATTTCGCGAGATGTGATCGGCATTAATGTTGACTTGTGTGACAGCCAAGAATGCAGCAGCAAGTGTAATGAAAATTTTCATCGTGGTATGACTTGGTGGGGCTTAAAGTGGGGTGTTTAGTAGATGGCTAAAACCAAAGTGCTGTTCTGGGAATCGAAAGCTGATTAATCGCATGACTTCGCATGTGTGTTGCTATTCGCATAAGTATTGATCAGAACATACAATGAATCGTGAAGATAAAAAAGTCTTTAAAAAACATTATTCAACAATTTCGACGACACGACAGGAGTAAAACGAAGATCGGATTGTATGGTTGAAGGGATATGGACAGTATAACAATACATTGCAATACTATTGCAACAAATCTTTAAATGATCTCCCCTTCCACGTCAAATCATAAACTTATCAATCTTCACAATTCTAGCAGACCAACTTTTACTTCGCGACACGAAACTCTCACTAAGCAGACAGTAAAAGTAAATGAACTTGCAGCAACTTTGATAAAGAATCAAAAGTTATTAGGCCGTCGTCGATCGCGAAAGTGGACAATGGATAGTGCATTGTACCGTTTCTATCGGTAAGATACTCGAGTTACAATAAGATGTTGGTAAATGAATTTCTGTATGCCTTCAACGGCTGAAAGACTGTTAAATAACACAAAGAGGCGCACTGGTAGTTTTTTTTAATGTTAATGTTGGTGTTCGCGTGATTGTCAATTTTTTTTACCGCTGTTGTCATCCATTCGAAATCGTAAAGTCAGTGCATTGGACAGATCGCAAGAAAGAATTGTTTCGCGAAAGTTCAGCTTCACAATATGAACATAAAAAAATCGATAGTCATGTTGTGAGTAGAGTTTACTCAAGTTTAAAAGTACCTTTTACATATGGAGTGGATCCAACCGTAAGTTACAAGTTGTTAAACGTGATGGGTACCCAATAAATTTGAGCCACATTCCCCTATCGCGTCGTCTAGTTGAGTGCGTGAACTAGTCTTAAGACAAAATAAATATCAGAGAGCAAATTGTCAAATATTTTTGTATCAAATTGCTTTGAGAAAACACCTGCATAATGTTATCCTCAAATCCTTCATTTCTTATTTGCTATTATCGATTGCAAGCTCTGTATTAATTCTACATATTTTACAAGATTTCGCTGATCATATTCCATTATTTATCTAATTCATGGTCTTCAAAGGTATATATATATATATAATGTACGCAACATAAATGTATAATTCTGTCAGGTCCGTCGATGGAGATACCCTAAAAGCATCGAGTGCTGGGGGATGATCTTATCAAGACGGCCGTAGACTTCTTCTATCCATAGTAATATATGAGCACAAGAGGCACTGGCTTATGATCGAAGCATTTGTCATGATATTGATCAAAGGTCTGCAACACATAAGCGCATATTAGCCAGTGACACAACCAAAACTAACGATTTGATATTTGCCGCTTTCTTCCGTGCGAAGAACGATTCCAAACTCGGGGCCTGCATTCTTTGTCGGAAAGGCTAGCGGCAACTCACGAATAGTGCATATTCACTAAAAGCTAAATACACCAACCATGCCAGTGCAGTATCAATTTGTATCGAGAATGAGCTACGATATAGTATGACCGCGTGCAACTTCAAATTTAGATATAAGCTTAACGTGACCAAGTGGTATCACCAGTACTCAGACAAAGATGGTCTAGAATTAGCTAGTAAGCCCCGAGGGCTGTTTGACCAGCTAGCAACATTCAGCATGACATTTGCTCTGCCGCTTGCAGCTCTCAATTGCATTTTCCATGTGCTACTAATATAAATTTAGAAGCTTACTAACGGCGTCATGTTTCTTAGCATAGATAAGTGAGTGACGCCGGTAAAGCAGTCTCTGCCCAAAAAAGGGCAACTCCAATGTTTACTGGGTGCTGCCTTGGTACACCTGTGTGAGGATTCACTCCAGTCTGACGCAGGAGGTATCAATCTTCTTCTTACTATTTGACAAAATTGTGATTCCTGGTGGTAGCCGTAGTTCAAACGAACATGCTTACATTGCGGAAACACATAAATAAAAGGTATGTTGTTCCGCCACGCCATCATCGATTACAATTGTTGTTTCTGGATGATGGTATTGCTAGCGAGTAAGCTGAAGCCCTTCCAAACTATAAGGCCGCTGCAACGTTGGAAATCTGGAGCTTATGTTGAACGTTACGTCAGACGATCTCGTCCACTGAATGCAGTGGACGAGATCGTCTGACGTAACGTTCATTTACTGCAAACAGTTTGAATTTATAAGAATGAACTTGTGTTTAGCGGATGACTTTGTGCCCGGTCCCATAATTTCCCGGGCAGTAATAATGTGCTTCTAGCGTTGTGCGCTTCGGCAGCTGCTGACTGGGAGATAATAGGTGCTCAAACTCGAGAGCTTTTTTCTTTGACAAAACAGACAAGCGATCCTTGAATACTAATAAATATGGTATCATTGAAGCATCAATCTTGGTAGCTTCTAACAGACCCGTGGCAGCATATTGTGAATTTAACTCACCATGAATACTAAAAACATGATCTCATTGCAGCATCAGTAACGGTGGCTTCTGTCCGCTGCTCGAGACCGGTGGTTGCATATTGTGCATGAATTCAGCTCATTTTAAAAAAGGCGTAGTCTTGCAGTTGTTGCACTTAGATATTCCAATAGGACTTTACCATAAGATTGGCACTTTCCATCGAACACACGATTTTGAGTTTGCTCAAAAGATCAAATACGGAACAGCTGGCAAACATCTACTGAAATTCGGTAAGCTGTTTAGAATCGTAAGCACCGCCTTAAATAATGATACATTTTATCGAAACTAATAGCTTCGCCTTCAGTGTGAGCATGTGGTGGATAATCTAAACATTTAGGCTGTTCTGATCTACTAAAGAGCGGGTTGTAGCCACCGACAGCGAATTTCTTGGTCTCCAGCTTGATAATATGTATATTTTTTATCACCACAACTGCATTCTATCCGCTCCTACCACATCGCAATTCCAGCTTTATTCTTAGATAACAGTAAAACAATATCGGAGTTAATCCCTTCATACCAGAAATCGAGAATGATCACAACAGATGACATAAATTCACTGTGTTGGTGCTCTCATCACTTCTATACATGTGCTTACTCGTCAATGTGCAAGTAGCTAGGGTCATACTATGCCACAATTCACTCACCCTTGCTCAACTTTTGAAAGAAGGTAAGCTGGTCAAGATCATCCAGACTCATAGTCCCTTAATGCTCAACATTGCATCCCTTGATTATGCCTACAAATTTGCCATTGGATCTCCGGAAACGCCATACAAACCCTTCTTGACGGAAATAATGGGATAGGAACAACCCCAACTATCGTCAGCAAAAGCATAGTTGAGTACTCGTTTGCGTATGGCGATGAGAATTTTAAAGTTTTGGGATTGACATTGAGAAGAAGGCGAGGACCTCTTTGCTAAAAATGATGTCAATGACATGCTGGGCGTCTTCTTGGTAAATGCTTTGGCATTGGGGATTACAGTCCTTCAGTTTTATATCATAACTTTCGAGATTTGGATGACAATTCTCCTTGGTGTTGCTGATCCGCAGGGGACCAGGCGTCAGCCAGCTCCTGTGTGCCAGTGGCTACTGAGGAATCATGCCCGTCGTCGGCGGAGGTGGAAATCCTAGTAAGTAGGATTGGTAAGAAAGCCCATTAATTCTGTTGCTAAAATAGCTTTTCCTTTGAAATAGTGTTGCACATTCGAATACCCATCAGCCCAGATATATAGATTCAGCTTCAGTCTGTCTTTGCAAGAAGGTCATCGATGCTATGATACAATCGATTTCACAAATTCACACTTTGAATGAATGACAAGAGATTTGATATAAAATTGAGCGCATAGATCTTAAAGTATATGATTCAGTGTATCATTGTTTCGCTTAAGCAAACAATTGAGCAGGTTTGTACTCGCGAAATCGTCTAGCAATCGGTAAATTGTCGCAAATGACAAATCAAAAATGCATACGTAAATAATCAATGATTGATCTTACATCGAATGTTAAGATTGATTGATATTGTTTACTATCATCATCGCTCATCACCTACACAATAAAATTGTTTGTATGCTCGCATTTTGGCAACCTCGCACATGTTGTAGCAGCCAAACAGTTAAGCCTCAAAGTTTTTCTTCAAACGGTTAGCTGGAGCTACTATTCCGGAAGAATTGTCTAGCGTTGTGGCTTTGAGCCGAATACATAAAATTTAGTTGTCGCTTACTTTCTGCTTAGATCAGCTTCTCTTACCATCGTTCTTCTCAAAAAAGAGCAGATACACCACTTTATTGCATACTGGTATTGCTGAATGTCTGAATACAGAGTGCATGTGATTTTGAAGATCATGATCTACCCACGTTTGGCACATATTCAACTTACTGTTGTTTTGTATGACTTGATAGTGTATGAAATTCATTGTTTATGAAAGCTGTACTGGTGGCCCAAAAAAGAGGGAAGTCCAGCATAGCCCTCGGCGACATTTATCTCGAAATCCATCGTGTCTTAAACAACTGTATGAGAATAACAGCTTTTCAAATGCCGATGCTACTTGAGAAATGTATTTTGCAATGTTTTAATGACAAAATCAAGTTGAGAGCCAAGATAAACTTTATAACGTGTAAATGCAAAGTCTCCGTTTTTGTGATAAAGTGCCCGGACATTGCTGTCTCATAATTACTTCTGTTTTGCACACCGATTGGAACGCAGTGTTAATCTGCTTAGTGATCGAGAATTTGTTGTATATTCACATGCAACACTTTGATCCCAGAACTATGAGTTTCTTAGAACGTCTCTGAACGTCCGTAAAGTTTAAGTTAACCTTTTTTCTATGACCACAGAAAATGAATAAAAAAATCAGCGTTCTGCGGAGCCCTCAATCAGATGCGTTCAGCATCGTGAGATTCTTACACAGACTCATCTCTGAATTGGATATAAGGGTTCTATGCACCTCAGCATGGTAAAGCAGTTTCGGTGAAGCTTTGTTTTCAGTGTTTGCCTTACCAGAATTAGAGCAAGTAAAGTGTTCGCCAAGCACTTCTTCACGTAGAAAAGCTACAAGTAAAAATCCCTATATTCGCGTCATCAGTTGATCATTATTATCGAAGTAGAATGACAAAAGTAATCTCAGAGCCGATTGGAAATTATTGAATGAACTATTATTCTTCTTTCATACTCATCTTGAAAAGAAAAGCGAGCAGTGACTTATTTGTTTTGCCGTCTAATACTAACTGAATTGACACTGTTGAGAACCGGCACAGATGATAGACTCGAGCCAATCGATAGCGATGGAAACACGAAAGTAAGTGGATGGCACTCCATTCTGCGTACCGCAGAGGACACTAACGCTTGAAAGAGCAATGAGAATGTCGTCATCGTCTCCTGAGCCCATCTCTTTGATAAGTGGACTGCCATTGTCACCATCACATGTATCCCTGCCAAGAATACCACCAGCACACATGAATAAATCACTCAAGCCATCGTACAATCGAGCGCACTCTTCATTATTCCATACGGAAACCTTAAGAGCTTGCAGTTCCTCCAATATAGGACCATCAGGGGTGCTCTTCCCCCAGCCCAGGACCGTCGATGACATCCCAATAATAATGTCTGATTCATCCCTCTTTACAAGCTTGACGGGTTTAAACTTACTAGGCGTCCCCAATGTCAACAGAGCGAAGTCGAAGGCATCGCCGTCCATTTCATGATACGTGTGGTTTTGGACCGACACAACCTTGATTTGTTCACCATCGCTAGTGCCTTCGACGACATGCGAGCCCGCTGACACAAAGAGTGGGGTTTGTTCGCTATGACCCGCTGCACATGTTGCCGTAGCAAGGGCATGCGTCGATGAGTGCAGAAGTTTTTACCAGAAGGTGTGCTACGAAGGCCGCAAGTGTACGTTTTCGTTCCAATTGGGACAACTGTCCCTCCGGTAATTAAGTGTCGCGAAGTGTGATCAGCGGTGGCAGCAATGCCCGAGATAGCCAGTGATATAGCAGCAATTGCGGTGGTAATTTTCATCAGTGGGTAGACCGTTGGGTTTGGAGCTCTTGAGTGAAAAGAGGTAATTTTTAAAATGCTTTACTGCGTCCAAAATACTTGATCGACTGTCAGCTATCGCAAGGTAGCAATGTATTTTCTTATGCCTAGGAGAGATGCTAAAGTATGTTTATAGACTTTCCAAAGATTTATTTCGTGAAAGATCTGTTAAGTGATTAAAGGAATGATGAGTAGATGAGGTAAATTTTATCACGACTCAATGCTTCTACGCCGACGAAACAGTGATTCGTACAATAACTGTCTATAGTTGAAGAAAAGTGTAGAGCAGACAAGCTCAGAGACCGCGAGAATGAGGGCAGCAGGACTCAGCCCGAAGAGCTCCGTGCTCTTATGTTCGCCATCGGGTAATTGAGAAAAGGCACCATTTTAATTAGAAGTTACTTTGGATAGTCACACAATCGCAAGAAGGTGGTATCTTCATTCATAAGCGGAGGTGTCGGCATAGCTATCAGGAGATAGTCTACAAGTACAAATCGATCATTCCATAAGTGACCGCCTGATAGACCCCATCTCACGATGATCATGCGCACAAAGCAGTCAGTAGAAGCTACAGGAGAGCTGGCAGACCATATCAACAGGTATTCGATCTCCTTCAACCGGTTCATTTACAAATCGTCGTCGATATTCAGCAAGAATTGCAGGTTCAATGTCGAATTGAGGTATTAAGAGTAAAGTATACAACACACAGGTAGAGAATATGGATGATGCGACGAGTTCAAAGTCAAAGTGATTCTGGCTCGCTAACTCCACGTTAACAGCGCATGAACGATGGGTATGACACAGTAAATACGTGTATGTGAGCTAAAGTTAAACGAAACTTCCAATGTTTGTCATCTGTAATAATAATTAACCCTGCTTGATTATAACGGAAATGCTGTGCACTTAACACAGAGAAAGATTTGACTTTACGAGAACGGGTCAGCTTAAACCCCGTGCGCGTCGCTCATCTTGATCTGGAGCCTTTTCTAAGTAATTTGGCTTAGTTTGCGCCCGTACATTTTGCATCAACTATATGCAAAAAGAATGCTCTACGCAATGCATAGCGTGAGGCCAGCAGGTATTGTTTGCTAAGAAAGGACAAGATGAAGTCACCAAATTTGTACCTGAGGAGCAACTGAGCTCATCCTTCGTCGCGAAGTAGTCCATTATTAAGGACACTCGCAGATCACTGAGTGCAGTAAGTGGAATAGCTTTTCACAACGATTCTGAAAGAAATTGTTAGCGTAATATAATCACGTGGTGATAACAGAGCAACCATGCGAGTTGCACTTGGATTCAAGGAGGATACCGGGAATGACTTGGTGCTACACACGAATTGCCGCTTAAATAGAACAACCCGACTGCATGGACAATTCCTTCGGTGGAAAAGCAAAACCGGGCTTGGTGGTGAGAGTAGATCTTTTTACTTGGCGTCGATTTTCACTGCTAGATAGGCTTGCCGCATGTGACGAATGCATGTGATAAGCCAAATGCAGTAACATTTCGACACAAATGCTGATTTTGGCAAGGATTAACAACAGACCTTTATTATTGGCTGCACTTTCTTCAATATCCGTTGTTGATGTTTGTTGTACGCTACTTCTGAGTGACAATTAGTTGGTGTATATGATATACTGCTTCTGAGTGACAGTAATGCTCCAACGGGGTTGCCGCGCACTTTGCGCATGAAAGTTTTTTAATTCTCAACGACTGTATTAATTAACTCATAGAGATTGGACTCGTGCACTTTTATCGGGAGCAACGACGAGGACCATCATGGAAACTAGGACTCTTAGTTCGCCCTGGTAGGTCAAGAGTATATATATCTAGAATGAACTGTATTGATGTTCGTACTAGCTACATACATTTAACTACAACTCATATCAAAACTGCTCTCATTGAATAATATGCAGCTAGCAGGCGTGTACAACGAGTCTTCCCTTAAGGAGTCACGTCTCTCTATAATACCGTTTCTATATCATTACAGGTAATTAACTGTCTAGTGTATGTCCATTTCGTACAATAACACCGGCCTGTTAGAAATGCAGGTTTACTGCATGTGCATGTACACAAGACTACAGTACTTGCCTCGTCATTCCCCATTGATATGTGAGCCAAATTAAGAACCACACCAAGTTTGTCGGGCTTTGACACCGAGCCTGGAATTTAAATCTTCTAACGACCTTGGTCTTCCGAGCGTACTTTCACCGGCATTGTCCTCCCGCACACAAAATTAAATGAATCAACGAGCCTCGTTTCGAAGCGGAGTCTTCGCGACCAAAGAACCAATTTTTGGGGGTGGAGATGCTCGATGTAAATGGTCCTAGTGAGTCTTCCAGTTCTGGTCGAACACCTCTGCCCTCACCCGGCGATACATTGCTTTGATGTATCCCATGGAGATATCCCTGCTGCACGAATCTCTGCCTCGGTTCTCCTTTCCATCGGCAGAAAGTGTTGCAACCCTGCCTTGGAGCTCATATCGATGTCCAACTAGTGACCAACGGGCCGAACCTGGCTCACCGAATCAATCTAAATCAACTGCACGCAAGTGTGTGCCAGCTCTTGCCCAAATTATAACGCCGCGACCACCAAATTTAGTCTCCTAAAGATGCTCACCATGCTGACGCGGAGCTCCTATTAGCTTATGCAAGGGGGATTTTGGCTCGCACCAAGCACAAAACGAGCACGATTAGCAGGTTATTGCAACCCAGCAGTAATAAGTGTCCTTAGAACAGCAATATACGGGAATACAGTTTACTTAATGAGGAATTAATCTTGGATTTTAGAAGCTGGTAATACATCCGTTGAATATGATTCAGCTTGCGCACTGGGCAAGAAAAATACATTTTTAATCCGTACTAAGTCTTCCGAACCAGTTTTGGCAAAGCGGATATGTCTGTCTGGAGCGAAATTTCAATGTTTCAGCGCAGACGAGTTGTGAAAAAAGGTTGAGATGCATTGCATAAACACCAACAGAAGTATGTCTGTAAGTGATTCATTAAAAGGAAATGCTGAAGACGTCACAAAAGTCGAGTTGACAACCACCCATCTCATGACCCTACTAGTGCAATCCCACTCGTCTCTTTATGACAGCTAAATAATATCGACCATGGATCCTAATAATTGGAAGTTGATTTTCTGTTGTGCTTTGGGAGTGCGGTGCGGCGTGTGATGTTGCCACTTCACTGAAAGCGATAAAGGCTGAGGGTGCGTTAGGTAGATCGTAAGCGACCAGGACACGAGGGAAATCTTATCAAAGCAGAGCGCAAATATCCCACGAGTCTTTAGACTGAGAGTGAGCATTCCATTTCACCAGTTATTGGCTACAGCCCCGGTGTACTCATCGATCCACCAAAAGCTTCGCGTTAAAAAGAAACGCCTATGCTCATCGATCAGTGCTGGCGGAGGTCGGCCCTCTTGCCACCAGCTATTGTATTCTCATTCCGAGAGACACAGCATAAGTCTGGAGCCGAGATACACCAGATCTCGATATGCCTTGAGCTTGTCCATTGCACTGCCTGGCGTGAGGCCTTCCAGCCACGTCGCTAATTTGAAGCAGATGGAACTCGGTAACAGATAGTAGCAGAGACGTTGCTTTGTCTCCAATAGAGCAAGTTGCGCCCGACTCGCTCGGATAAGCGGGGTAGTGGTATGCCTTCAAGATGCCCACATAATACGGTCAAATTTCTCTGTATCCCGTCTTTGCTACGGCCGTGAATGGTCGAATATGACGCAAACACAAGTGATTCCTACAGACCAAAAATACTGCATGACGCTGTGGGTTGCTTACGTTCTATTAAGCATTTTGCATTTATTTGTTTGCAGCCATTTCACCGTGCATCCAGCGGATGAGGATCAATAGCATTTCATCAGCGCAGCGCATGTTGTGTCTGGCCGGTATGCTGTTGTATTCGCTCATTAATTGACTAGATTACCAGACAGCTCAGAATCAGGTCTACGCAAAAGTGCACATGCCACATTAAACCGACATATTTCATAGAGGATGACAAGATGGATACCTTTACTCACCAAAGATAGCATTGATACGATTTGCTGGCAACACCGCTGAGTAAAACATCACATGTTGTGCATTAGTTCTAAATGGCAGGGAGTCAATAGGGTGCCTCCTGAAGCTGATGAGACCATACTTAAAGAAGCTACTTATCATACATCGGGTGCTTCTTTTTTGCCGGTTGGAACCATCATAATTCGTTGCAATCTTACTTTCATGTTAACTGACGTTTGCTATAACTAAAGCGCAGTCTCTCCAAAGGCTGAAGCATTACGAGGGACCCAAAATGACCGATCAGGATTCAAAACAGCCAGAATCGGTGCGCACTTGATAAAACTATGGCACGCCACATCCGCTGCAACTTAACACTGTCTGGCGTTGATTTGGAGAAGTTTGACGAGGCTCGTGCCATGTTGGTTTGGTTTGCTCTATGGTTGTGCATACAGTTGGCTAGGCCAAACACTTTCTGGTAAAATACAGTGGCCAATCTACAATAGCGTTATCTTTGCGAGATCTGCCGACAACCTTTTCTTCTTAATAGGGCAGACTTTGCTTCCCAATAGAGTAGCCAGATTTCGCCCACGCCAAAGTGATACTTGTCTATATTTTCGAATCGCTTATTGACGCGCATACACTTGAGCACTGTTCTCAAATTTCTAAAGTGGTTTTACATGAGCTTTGCACGACTATGGACAATATTTCGTTGAAATAAGCTTGCATTTCGCTACATTTTGGCTCGAACGATTGTGTCAGCCGATTACCGAACGTGGCTGGAGCAGCAGACAACCCTGTGGCATAATAGCCACTTTCAGTAAGTAACATTTGCCAAAATGAGAGAAGAAACTTCGTTTCTTGTTATGAGGCAACTATTCTAGTCGTCCCAGTCAGGTGTATTGAGCATAATGCAATAGACTGGGGCAGTTCTGCAACACATTCTTTCCAGGAATCGATGTTTGTGCCTCAAAACATTGTTGCATTGAACTTAATGTAACTATGCGCGATTCGCCAATCGCTGCTAGCCAAAGAAAATCGAAGCCAACTGGGACTCACTTCATCCGCCAAACTCGTTTCGAAAAAAATCATCTTTGTCTTCAAGCTGCTCGTCTGATCCGGGCCAACTATTGTGACACCATACTAAGGCCCCAGGAATCAGATTTAGTAATATGATCAGCTGGGCAACACGAGAGACGGGTTCCTTGCATCCACGTGTTATATCCTTATAACAAGGGATGAAAATAAACCACACAATCTGTGATGATAGCTGTATTGCTTCTCGCGTTTTGTACTTTGCAAGTTTGCAACAAAAGACTCGTCTGCGTCAGATAGCGAGCTTACCATTTCAAGATGCTCACCGTATTGCCATACTTTGCGCAGAACGAAATTTTTTGCCAGCAATAAAGAGGGGAGACTTATTTCGTCTCCGATTCCCCAATACTTCAATCACGAGCCAAATCTTATGAAGTTTTACTGCTCCACTCGGTGGCCCCACGGTATGTTCGACTTAGCAGTACCGTCAAATCGCCACAAGGATGGATCAATCTTAACGATTTGAGCCTAATTCTTTTAAGCAAGCTTACAATTGCTAGTCTTAACCGGCGCTTACACATAAGACCGCGACACAAATTTGCGCTCACTCGTCTCCACTAGCTATCAAACAGGCGCTTAAATCTAAATTCGCAGGTAACACGTTCCAACACTTTTTAACATTTCGGGAACCACGACGTACCTTTGCGTATTCTCGGCTCAGTTGATACACACTCGGGAGAATGCGACACAGGATCTCTTCCTCCTGTCTTATCCTGAATCTCGCGTCTCACTGCCGCGTCTATCTCGCGAGCTTTCTAAACTGTGGTCAACGCCATCGTTGCTCATCAAATTGGACAAGGTCACGCCCCGAATCGAAAATATCGTAGCTCCGTATTCACACGGATAGCGCTTCTTTTCTCAAATAATTTCGGGCCCATGAACTTTCGAATCACCACTGGGAGTGAAGTGCTTAGCACCAAATGTCGACGGCATCCAGTCGATTTGTGGCTTATGGTTTCCAATCCACGCCATGCATAGGATGGCTTCATATATCTAGTAAGGGTTCAGGGCGAAACTGGGTTCTACGCTATCAAAGTCTTCTCATTTCACAGGATTTGCAACCTGTCCTGCTGATAGCCAGAGGATCGGTGTATCCGACTGCAGCATTTTAGACTACTATTTACAGCTATGGGTCTTACGCATTCGCACGATGCTTTCAGCTTAGTCAGTGCCTTCCTAATGTTTATGAAGCCCAAGACGATAGTTTTGACAGACAACAACCCTTGGCTAACATCCCCCGAGGTTTGCTTGTTTAATCCAACTTCCCATTAATCTCGATCCCAAAAGGCAAATTACAACTCCCGGCTCTTCGCAACGAGATCGCCGAGCGGTGCATGGCAGCTCGATCTTTTGTAAAGCAGAATAAAGAGAGAAGGAGATACGCAGGACGCAGATGTTCGATATTACCAAAGATGTAAAATCCGCTTGTACCACGGAGTATTAGTATGACTCGGGTCTATCTTCTCTCGTGTGTCATAGATCTTCCGTCTTCTGTACTTTAGAAATCCATTGCGCCACGTGACACGATTCTTATACTTCATCTCTAATGCGACACCCACTGCTTTGACAAAAATGTGGGTGAACGCGGAAAGATCGAAACAACCTACATCTGTTATGAGACCCCCCATGAAGATAGTAGCTGCTTCAACTTCCAATTAAAGGCCTGCTACCATCGAGTCGATGCAAATTTGTACCTCTTGGGCATGATATCTGATTCTCTCCTTCCGGCAAAATGTTTAAGCGCGCATGGTATGTCTGGTAAGACGAAGCGGACGCCTGCGACATTGGTCACTTCAAATCGTCTCATACCACAAGTATCTCTAACATAGGATACTGCACCCCCGTATACTATTTTCATGCGCGACCTCCCAACTTCGGGCCGCTAGTGTCGCGCGCTGTTGATTTCTCTGTAATATGGCTAAGAATATGACTGAGTATCTTACATCAAAAATTCAAAGCGATTATACCCGCCACGGTTTGGAAGCTTAAGATCTGCGGCCTCGTGCTCGGTATCGGGAGGTTTAATCGATTATTTCTCGCCAGCGCATCGTATGAGTTTGTGGGTTTTCCAGGCGTTCCGTCACTTCGTTCGGCACTTGCGATGCCAATTTCCCGAACCTATTAGGAACCAAAATCGACAAGAACTTGTTTAGCTGATCCATCTGTCATGGGGAAAGACCGTTTCGCGTTCCATCCTCGTTGATGATATAGTCTTCTCATGTCTCGGTCGTGGGATTGACTACAAGTGCTACCATGTACAACAGACAACATACACTCTATGTAAAAAAGCTTTGGCTCACAGTGTTCTTGTTATTAAACGCACAGGGTTTGGGTCCGTGTGCTCTTACAAGGAGCGTAACTGAGAGCAGCTAAGATTACTGACACTAGCGAGTGATATTCCGCTAACAGCGGTGAACTAGCTTGTTTTGTTATTAAGCATATATCGTATTAAGTCTGATAGCGAATACATACGTTCTTTTATTCGTTATTATCAAACGTCGCGCTTACGTGCACCTCAGACCGAGTTCCGTTCAACCAATCCTGTGGTGCAGTGGAATGCTGTTCACTTCAGAACCGGGAGGTTCCGGGCCGGGTAGAGCGGGATTAAAGTGTAATGTATAAAACCCTACAACACGAGCTTAACATGCTTACACGATTTCTAAAAAGGGGTGACGTCCTAAAATTAATCAGACCGAGTTCCATAAATTTCATAAATACTGAAAATCCGGTATTTTCAAAAAGTCACAATTGCACCAATTTGTCCTCAATACAATCGTATCATTTGTGTACACAAGATTACAAAACTCGATCCCGTTACACCGTGCACGTTGCCCAGAAGAAGCTTTAATTCAGACAGCCCCCTTGAACAACGCGCAGATTTTGAGCTTGTACGCTTCATTTAGACAAGTATTAAAGTACTTCTTCTATTTCCAAAGGATATTGTTCAACAATAAAACTATATTTGCTACTTAATGTGAGGCTATGTCTTTTAAACCTCCCCTTTACTCAAGTCTTATCGGAAGTGTTGAACAATCATACAAACATGCACAATTGAACAAAAGTGCACATTTAAGCAACGAAGTAACATCTTGATCCGGTACATACTCTTACAATATTCTTCCTAGTTATTGAAACCCCGGGTTTACATTGACCGCTACCGAGGTTTCAAGGAGACTACGAGAAACAATGCACCGCAAATTCGGGACTCAAATATTTAGGATTCAGTTAAATAAAAAGACCTATCTTTCGAATATTAATATCATTATTTAGAGTTTTGACTCCAAACACAAAATCCTGTGTCGATCGTAAATGTAAAGGAAGACATGTACTAACCTGATAACAAACGTCGTTAATCGTAGAGTTTTATATAGAGCAGATGTAACGTTTTCAGCTCACATAGAACGATTTGCAGAGAAAAGGAGTTGGTAGCTTCAAGTGACGAAAGGATGATCATGACTTATCATTTGAATACAAAATCTCGATTGAGACTGTAAAGGACTATGCACTTTTTTTTGATCGTTTTAAAAACGATCAACTACTTGCAATGAAAGCAAAGACAGATAGCAGAGAAGTGTACTACCTCAAATCAGCATTAACTTGCATACACGTGGTGAAAACTTCCCTGAAAATGTAGTGGTAAGCCTCAGTAGTTGGATCGAAATACGATAGTAACCACATACTTTACGATACATAACGTTCGTTTGTCAATCTCATTTTAAATCTTACGAATAGTCGACTGAATCTTCAGATTAGATCATGATACGCCCAAGCTGAAAAATAAACTTATTGTTAGTTGAAACGTTCTGCCGATCTCATTTTGAATCCTACAAGTGGTCAATTTAATCATCAGATTTTAACTTTGTAGCGACGTTATGTCTGTAGCGCCAACTTTGAAAATTCCTACGTTCTGTGTATACCATTGAAGGTCTCACTTTCGTGTTTTATCAACTCAAGTATCTGAAGCTCTGAAGTGTTTTCGTATCATTTTCAATTTCTCCTCGTATTGCTTAACGCACTACAAACTTCGCGCTTGACTCCATGAAGTTTACATCCACAATTTCTGCAGCTTCGATAGCAATCTCAGGCGTTGTCGCTAACGCCGATCATGCCTCCCGACAGTTGATTATCGGTGGAAAAGTCGTTGAAATCAACACAAAGACATATACGACATGCCTTCGGTCCAAACCTGACGCAGATTGCTACTGCGCTGGTGCTTTAGTCTCTCATCGGCACGTGCTCACATCGGCAATGTGTGGAGCTTATCAACCAGATGGCATTGGACCTTATTTTGTCACCGTAGGTGCGCATTCTATGAGAGTCGCGACTGAAGGTGAACATTTTAAGGTCGTGCAAGTGCAGAATCATACAAAACATGACGTTGTGAATGGTAGCTACGATCTTGCTCTATTGACTTTAGATCGTCCATGTACTATTCCACCCATTGAGCTCGCAAAGCAGGATGACTCGGATATCAAACCTGGTATGTGGACGAAGGTCATGGGTTGGGGTCTTACAAGCTATCCCGGTGAATACTCGAATGAGCTACGTAGTCTTGATGTTGAGGTCTGGTCAGACGCTCAATGCATGGAATTTTTCCAACTTGATGAGTCATACGTTTGCAGTGGTGGGTTTAAGGGCATTGGACCTTGCGACGGTGATCTTGGTGGACCACTTATTCTAGAACAGAAGAAAACAGACCCAAATGGACCAGATTTACCTGATATTCTTATTGGAATCTCCAGTTGGGGTTACGGCTGTGCTGAAGGGTCACCAGATTATAACTCTCGTATCTCGACGTCTGTTGATTGGATTACATCAGTAATTGGTAATGTCACATGTGCAGACGGGACTCCAGCACAAAACGCATTGCCGAACCCTGGAAACGCAGTGCAGAATCCAGGCGACGTGGTACAGAACCCAGGCGATGCAATGCAGAACCCAGACAATTTGTTGCAGAATCCAGACAAATCGGCGCAGAACCCAGACAACGTTGTGCAGAACCCAGACAATGTCATGCAGAACCCAGACAACTCCGTGCAAAACCCAGACAATGCCGTGCAACACCCAGACAATGCCGTGCAAAATCCAGAGAACATGGTGCAGCATCCAGAGAATGGAGAGCAGAACCCAGAAAACACTGTGCAGACCCCAGAAAATGCAGTTCAGAACCCAGAAAACACCGTGCAAAACCCAGAGAATGCGACGTCAAACCCAGGAAACGTGGAGCAGATGCCGAATCCAGGAAACGTGGAGCAGATGCCGAATCCAGGAAATGTGGAGCAGATGCCGAACGTCGAGAACACGCAGCAGATGCCAAACGTAGAGAACGCGCCGAATTCAGAGAACACGCAGCAGATGCCGAACTCAGAGAACGTGGTGCAGAGTCCAGGGGACACGGGAAACATCGGGCAGAATTTCGGGGAATCGACGCATCCGTCGGGAGAAAAACCGGGACTTGTCTAAAATGTATTTGGTATAACTACTGAATTTGATTACGTGGACTATTTGATTTTCAAAAAACAAATTTGTGTTTGTCAGTCGAATAAACCTTAACCATTTTCCTAATTTTTTTTGCAACCTTGAGGATCAGATCCCGATTTAGGTTTGTGACCTCTTCTAAGGAAAGTGGGTCAGAATGATCATGGATAACCCGACGTCAAGTTATCAATCAGTACGGCACTATTATTAACAAAGTATGACTATCTACTGTGGTCAGACAAACTTCATTGACTCATGATTCTATGTAAAGTACTAGAGGTTACTGTTTTCCGATCAAATTATTATATTACGCTTGTAGTCCTAAGCCACAAAACTCATGTTTGACTGAACCCTTATCTTTTTTTGGGCATCTGTCTTAGTTTTTGATACGAATCATGACTCTGTCCTCTGTTCAGCACTAGATTATTGTGCCGTACACATAAGGGTGCTAGAGAGCGAACATCCAATCGAAATAGCTAGTTTCTACTCATATTGTACTCAGTGCGTTGCCTTTATGGATGGAAATGCCCAAGCCTCAAGTATGCTTCTTCCATCTTTCCTACCATTTCTATGGACTCTAGCAATCCGATATTCTACTCTGCTAGTATGCTAAAATCTTGGTACATTACGAATCCACAAGTAAAGGGGAAGTTAAATCACAATTTAGGTTTATCAATTAAGCTTTCCAATATCTTACCATCAAATCGCATTTGGGTAATGTACACAGTTTAAAAATTAAATCTTTAAATTGGATTTAATTTTAAAAATTACAATTTCATGAAACCATCGACAAAAAGATCTTGGCGCAATCCAATAATCGCAGCATGGGAAGTAACGAGCTCAGTGAACGAAAGCCTCTACTAAGTCCTGGCACACGTACTGCTGCTGCACTATCTCCAAGCACAGGAAGCACTTCCGCATTTTTACGTCGTTCTATCCACAATGGTCAAGAGCCCAAGCGCCAGTGTACAGACATTCTCTTTCTTGGGTGCTTTGCGACATATTGGATTGGAATGATTGCCCTTGCTATTACAGCATTGTCGCACGAAAGTAGCAGTACATTTGCACAAGAAATTGAAAGTGGAGTTGATTTTCAAGGACAAACATGTGGAAAACATCATTTTGTGTATTTTCCAGATTTTCCAAAAAATCCAGATTTTGGCGTTTGTGTTGAGCATTGTCCTCAAACAACTGGAGAGCATATAACGCTACATTTGCCTGTCGAGTCACATAAGCGAGTGAATGGATCGCACGAGATGCAGCAAGTGCATTTCACATCGTACGCGACGCATCGATGGGCGTATGTTTGTGCACCGGCCAAAGGTATTTAAAACAAAAAAATATTCTTAAAATGAGATCAAATGTTTATAAACAATTTAAATTTTTCTGTAGTCAATTCGGATCAAGTGATGATTCGCCAATTACAAGACACTTTAGGACGGTTTGTGGGTGCACTTGGTAATGTACGAACAAAGATTGTACGATTCGTTTGCTTATCGTACACCTTATTAATATTCGATGTTTATAGTGTTGGCAGGTTTTGCTAATTGGCACTGCAATCTCCATGTCTACGGCCGCAATTTATCTCGTTCTATTACGTTATTGTGGTTGTATTAGTGTCTTTATGTCCACTTTGGCCATTGAAACGACACTTGCATACAGCAGTTATCGTCTTTTGCGTACAGCTTCCGATTCGCAGTCGTACGAAAACGATCCTGTTATGCTCAGTTCTCTTCAAATCAGTGCTGTTGTCATGTGTTGCGCCGCCATCTTGTTCTTGCTCTTTGCTATTATCAACATGTCGCGTTTATTACTCGCAGGAGCATTTATCTCGCATGCTGCACGAGCTTTATCGCAATTTAAGCGACTGTTCATCCTTCCATTTATCTCTTACGTATTGCTTTTACTGCTCTTTGGTTGGGGACTATTCGTTACAGTTTCTCTCTTTGGAGCAGGAGAAACATCGACGCGAATTGCTACAATTTCTGCCACTTCTCCAACTTCAATCCAAGTAGTCATTGAATCATTTCAAGTGAGTACAAAGTTACGTTGGCTCTTTTTGTTTCATTTGTGGGGGATGTACTGGTCAGTGAACTTTATTTTAGCTATTGGAGAAATGATTACAGCAATTGTTATCTCGTTGTGGTATTTTGCCCCGGAAAATCGCATTACTGGATTTAAAGAGTTTGAAATGACAGATCCCGTGTCCTATGCAGCTCAATTGACAATTAAATATCACTTGGGTACATTAGCCTTGAGCTCAAGTTCGGTTGCATTAGTCGAACACATTCGTACTTTTTTCTTGTACCTTGAAAACAAGAACGAATATGATGCGAATGCAATTACAAAATTTGCAGCCAAGTGTTGTTGTGTACGTTTCAATGATTTGTATCTTTCATGTTTTATCTGACAAAATCATTACAGTGTTGCAGCTATTGCTTTCGATATTGTTTAAAATATATTTGTAAAGAAGCAGTGTATGTGAGTGCAATCCAATGTACGGATTTCTACACTTCGGGAAAGGTACATTTGAATTTCAATCATAGCTTTGTGTTTCTATCTAATGACTTTTGACTTGTTAGTTGGCATACACGTTGATATCTTCAAATTTAATTCGAGTTGGAGCATTGAGTCGAATTGGTCATGCATCGGTACTTCTCGGGAAACTTATTGTATGTACGACAACATGTCTGATCGCATGGATTCTTCTAAGTGATGTACGTAACTTTTCGAATTGAGGATTTGATATTTATTTAGATTGACTATTTCTACTCTTTGTGATAATTGAAAGGCTCCATCACCCGTTCTACCGCTTGTAGCTGTGATGCTTTTTTCTTACAGTGTAGCGCACGCTTTTTTGACGGTAAGTTTGAATTTAATAGAAATGAATTATACAAAATCTAACGTAATATTGTATTAGATTTACGAGACAACCATTAACATGCTCCTTATGTGCTTTACATTGGATGAAAACCTGCATGGTGGTCGCGGTAATTCAATCCATGCGTCGGCACCACTGATACAATCGATAAATGATCACTTACGACCTAAATGGCAGACGGTTTTGTAAGACTTTGTTCATTGCTATTTTTCTTAATAAAACTTTGATTTAATCTAAATTTGAAAATAATTTACCGTTAATCATGTGTAACACATGGGTTCACAAATGGAATCCTTTCTGAATACAAATTTCAAAATCTACTGAGTTACGTGAGGTTACGTTCTGAACACCATGTGCAACACTGTTCCTTGCAGTGAGATTGTGGAGCTACATCCGTTACGTTCTCAGAGCGTATCAGCTGTCCCCTCTTGAGGAATCCATCGAGTTCTTCAAATTCTCTAGTACTCTATAGTAACCTCCTCATTCTCACATCAATGGAGACATCTCCACGACGCTCGCAGTTGGCGCAGCAACTAGATGGAACCGACATCGCTAGCATTCCACATTCCAAGTCCGAATCGGCTTTACAATTACCACAAATTAGTGGATCGGACCTTAATGTGGACATGACACCGCGAGCACAATCAATCTACAGCATTAAAGATGAAATGTCACGCATTGCGTCGTGCTCGTCGCTTTCTAGTAGCAAGAATGAAGCCACTACAGCTTCTTTGCGTCGACAAACAACAGTATCTACTCGAGCTTTTAATCCATTGCGAGGAGATTCTACCTTAAAGATATTCCTCCCAAACGACAATTTAGCGCTGAAAGCTATTTTGTCACCCAAGAATACACCATGGTCATCAGCTGATGAAGTTCACGCCACTTCATCGTCTACTTTATTTGACAAAATTCTTTTTCGTAATAGTTTACCAACAACACTGACATCAATCCAATCTTCAGGAAGTGTTAACGAAGACGAGATCGAAGGGAATAATATTGTAATTATGAATCCACATCTTCCACCACCACCATTTGCTAACATGTATGCTTGTGAATCGTGTCGAGAAGATATTGGATCACTTTTATCCAAAGGTCGGCATCATTGTCGAAATTGTGGTGGCTCCTTTTGTGCTAATTGTTCAACAAAGGTCATTAACATTCCATATCATGCATATCTTACACGTGGAGAATTACGTGTATGTGACGGTTGTTTTCATCGCATTCGAAATTTTCACAAGCAAGTGAAGAGCACTAGTGTGACGTGGGGTGGTCTACATCCTCCATCTATTGCCGATTTGGTCCTCATATTTGAGTTGGCGGACGATGAAGCACCAGTTTCAATCTTTAATTGTGCATTGTTTGTTGAGACGACACCATATTATGGCCATCTCATACTAACACGCAAACGATTGTGCTTCCAGAGTTACGTGGATGAAAAGACACTTAAAGTCGCGTACGCACAAATTCTCTCGCTATTAAAACCGCAGTTTTACTATATCAACGGTCTACAGGTCAAGACACAAGAAAAAGAAACATTCTTTCTCGCCGAGTTTAACGGTTTACGAGATACGTGTTTTCTACGACTTGATCAACTCATTCGGGCTTTTCAAGAAGCGAGTAAACGTAAGAGCACAGTGCCTGGAACATTACCGAGTCAAACGCAACTTCGTCAAGAGGCACTTGATCGTAGACGTTCATATAAAATATTCTCTGAGCATCTTGTCTCGACGATTGCAAATGGTAATTCGACATTGAACCCACCGTTGTCATCTTCGTCTCCTATTTCAACGGTTGGATTTATTGATGTCGATGAAGATAAAGATGTGCCGTTAAGTAACACTTTTGATGAAGATGGTCATCTTGATGATGGTAAATCAACTGCAAGCGACGAAGAACCGTTTGAACCATTGCCATCAGATCCGTTGTTGGATAAAATGACCGTGTTGCTGGATTGCGACTTGCGTGCGGATGTCAAACGTGTGTTTGAGTTGTTGTGGAACGATGGCCCGGGACAAGAATTCTTACAATCAAATTTAGAGAAGGCTCGTGACATTGACATTGACATTGGATCTTGGCAACCACTTGACAAGAATAACACGAAAAATATTCAAAATGGATTTGAGATCTCAAAAGAGAACGACTACACATTGTTTCGCATTGTACGATCGCTTCACCCTCCAAAGACGTCATTTCCAGGTCTTCCACCATATGCAGGATGTACTCGAACTCAGCGCTTTCGTTTGGATACAACCACAAATGGTGGTGTGAAATGGGATCGATTTGTCATTACAGACCTGAATCGAATGAGCAAAATCCCATTTAGCGACTATTTTGAAGTTGAAATGCGCTATGTGTTTACTCGCGATGGAAACAATTATTGTCATGTTCAAGTGGGTTTAGTCGTGAATTTTCTTAAAGCAACGTGGTTTAAATCTCAGATCAATTCTTCAACGAGGTCGGAATCAAAAGAGGCTATTGAGGCTTGGGCAAAGCAGGCAATTGAATTTCTAGAGTCTCAAAGACATCGCGTCATTCTGCCTCCTCCACAGCTTGAAGATTGCTCTTCGATAGCACAAATTTACGAAGAAGTAAAAAATGAAACAAAAGGTGACAATCAAGAGATTTCTGAATCTGCTATTACAGAAAGCTGTTTGACTTCGCAAAATGTGAGCACAGATGACAGAGCATTGACATCTGCAAGGTCAAATGGTGTAGATTTTGTTCAATCGCCTCGAGTATTTGTATCACAGTTGCTTTTCATGGGTCTATTGTTTTATGGTCTCGTGCTCTTACGTGGACAACAGACACAAATGCAGCAACTATTGGATGCAACGACGAAATTGCTGGAACATATCCAAGGACAGCAAACAATGATGCAAACGCAGATTAGGATGATGCAGCAAACGTGTGATATTTCGGCTATAGAAGCTGCGACCAAGACGTGAAGAGCGAATCTTAATGCGTTTACCAGCAGTACCATCTGATTTGAATACTGACTGATAATATAGACTAGTTCTTGTCGAAGTCTTCAGAAAAAGCTAAAGTTCATGCAGCATACTTGAATTCAGTAATCTGGGTAGGCAAAACATACATGACTTGATGTAATTACCAAAGCTGAGGATCGTCTAGCGTTCAGTCTGTCGAAAGCTCAACCTTTGGTTCCGTTTTAAGCTTGATTTCTGGCTCCGACTTCACGCAATCTTCCGTGGCACCATCAGAAGCTTTCGTTGTTTTTGCTTTTGATCGTGTTGGAATCACTCGTATCGGATGAGTTTCTATAGAAGTTGCAGGTGGTACATACGTCGATGAATCAGCAATTAATGTCTTCCGTCTCTTTTCCGTCTGTTTGCTTTGAGCCTCTGTTTTCCGCTTCACGGACCTCGTTTCTTTCTTTGATTTGCTCTTCCTTTTATTCTTTTCTCCACTTGGTTTCTTGATCATCAATTCACTCATGAGCGATTCAAAAGCCGACGGATTCTCACACTTCAGTAATACCGTTCGTCGCTCCAGATCCTTTGCTTCTTTATCTAACTGTTGTTCATATTCCTCTCGTCTCTTCGTCGCTTTCAACTTGGAGACTTCAGATCGCTTTCTCAGCAACGCTCGTTTCGCCATTTTTAATCTTCCTACTTGGTTCACAAATACAGCATACGTCTCTTGTTTCTGTTTCTTTGACGTTGAAAGTCGAGAAGTACTTGACAAGACTTTTAATTTCTTTCGTATAGCTCTCTCTAATGATTTTGGACCACGTATCACATTTCCAGTGCACACGTGACACTTGCGACTAGCAGCCTTTTTGTTTTTTCGCTGAGATTTTGAAAAGCTAGATCTTGGCAGCATTCCGAGACAGCTTTTACAATCCAGCATTTCGGCTTGAGTCTCAATGAGAAGAGGATAGCCAGACGTACTGCAGCGCTTTGTTGTGGTATTGATAAGCTCAGATTTGATGTCACGCTTGAGATTATCATGATTGATGTCGCCTGCAGACTCAACGACTGGAACTTCTGTTTTAACACTAGGCAAAGTCTCAACATTTGGAACTTCAGTCTTAACAATAGGCAACGTCTCAATGACTGGAACTTTAGTGTTAATAGTAGGCAATGCAGCGGTAGTAAACTCTTCAACAAGTGGTTCACGCTTGATGTCTATTTCTTCATAAAGAAAATTGTCTTGGCTTTCCGTTGAGCTCCCATCATCTGAGACGTACGTTGAATTCATGGCTAGAATTTCGTTAAGAAAATTTGGTCGACACAAATACTTTTCAAAATATATAAATTAAGTCATGTGACTATTCTATATAAACACCGCATACTATGGACGCAAGGACAGTCTTGATCTCTTTTAATGCGATGTTACCACCCACACAAGAACGTGGACCTCCTAAGAAAGCATTAAACTTGTAGCTGGAGACAGGACGCAATTTCCCACTTGTTCTGTCGATCCAACGTTGAGGTCGAAACTCTGCACAATCCGAACCCCAAACATCTTCTCGTCGAGCCATCGTGTATAGATCCATCATTACTTCCATTCCCTTTGCAACAAATGTACCATCACTAAGCACTGTATCACATGTAGCTCGACGTCGAATGAATGGATAGACAGGATACAAACGTAGTGTCTCTTTCACTACTGCATCAAGACGCACGACGGAATGTACATCTTGACACTTTTCTCTTGCAACGTTAAGGTCGATACGAATCTTGTCTTGCTCCTCAACATGATGTGTGAGACATTCTAGACACTTTGTCAATGTCTGTGCAGTCGAATCTCTTGCTGCTACCACTAGACTTAGCACATAATTTGCTAAAAAGTTCGCATCTTTTGAAAGCTTGCTGCTGCATTTCTGACTTAAGATATCGAGAATACACTCACATTGATTACGAATACGTGTGCCGTGATTCCTCTTCTTTGCATTAACAGCATCTGACGTGATAGCACTCAAAACATCGACGCTGTGACGAAGTGCAGCTTCACTGCCGACATTGAAGAGTCGCTCGAGCTTCCACATAATCATAGGACGAGTTCTGCGTTCAGCGATACACCGTTCAATGTCTTCAAGAGCATCTTCAAACTCACTGGTCTTTTGGAGTCCAAAACCCAATTCTATAAACACTTTCGTTGCAAATTGTCGCATCAGCTTTGATACGACGTTACTGTCAAGATTCGTGTCGTCAAGATTCTTCAAAAGCCATTGAAGGTGCTGCTTCACAATTTCAGTCACTCGTTTGCTTAATAGAGGTGAGCTCACTACACTCGTTGCAAGCCAACGCTGTATCTTTGCAGACGAACGAAAGCTATCAGTACCTACTTCTACAATAGCTTTACCATGCACGTCGTGCACTAGACCCTCTGCTTTGCTGTCAAGTTTGTCAAACTGCATTGCAAATGTTCGTTGAATATCCTCGAAAGCTAATGGAGAGGTTAAAATCATCACGTCGGGACGTCCTGAACGTTGCAATAGCCACGGCTTGCCATGAAATCGTAAGGATAATGAGACCATCCATTCATAAAACGCTGCTGAGCCTTCCTTCAATCGTTTTTCCACGCATTTGACACGAGGTATTGTCAGATTTGATGATCGATTCAGCTGATTTTGCTCACCACGAGGAGGTTTCGGAATACTTGTCCAGCTTAATTGTCGTTGCCGACCTTGACGCATAGCCCAGAATACAACAAGTGCTAGTGTGCTACTTAGCAATGAAGTTGGTGAGATAGGAACAAGTTTATGCGGGTGAAGAAGGGCATTGAGCGTCATTTTAAAAATTACAGAATGAGCGACTATCGACAAGAAGAACAGCTTCAACTTTGAGGTCGTTGCGTACTAACGCTGGCCGTTATAGACTAAACGACGTCATATAATTGAAGCGAGTTGTCTACTTTCTGCTTTAGATGATATAAAGGGCATGTGACGTGCCATTTATGGCTGTAACGTCTCTTAAGGCTGAATAATCTGTGACGTGTGTGTGATTTAGGGGTCATTATGACTTGGACACTAGAAGCGAAGCTATCATTACAATACAATATATTTGAATAATGTAAGGAAGATGAACAAAGGACATGGATATATGAACGCTGCTCCTCCACTCCAAGAGCTCCGACAATGACAGAACTGGCAACGACGCAGTGTACTGTCGGATTGCAGCAAGATGAAAAGTCGCGTATGGCTACGACACGATCTGTAAAACTTCGTCAACATCGTGTTCTTACTCTTGGTGATGGTAATTTTTCATATTCATTGGCACTGGCGAAACAGTACAAGAATCGACGGAATGAAATATCACTCCAATTGACTGCGACTTCTTATGATAGTTACAACGAACTTATAACGAAGTACCCCGATTCTAAACGCATCTGCGCTCAATTAAAGGAAATGGGCGCACTGGTCTTGCATCGTGTTGACGCTACAAAT